CGGCGACGGCGTGCCCTCGGACGAGGAGGAATCCTCCGCCTTGGGCTGCTTGGCCGGCTCCTGCTCCTTGGCCGGCTCCGGCTCCTTAGCCCGCTCCGGCCAAGGAGGAGCCGGCTCCTTGGCCTTGTCCCCCTCAGGGGTCACGGAATCCCTCCTCATCCTCTCCCTGTGCAGGCGCGCCTGCTCCTCCCGCAGGAGGTGGCACCTGGGCAGGGCGAGACGACACGCGCGCGTAAATAATATATATGACATAAAAACAAAGCCGCGAGATAAAAACAAAATGTGCCTGCGCTGGTGCGCATTATACGCATTATATATCTACATATATACAACCGCGTCTGTGCTTATATATATATATATGTATACATGCACATGGCGCACAAGCCGCGCGCGCTGGGCCGCAGCCGCAGCAGTCTTGCCAGGCCGCAGCCGTGGCGGGCGCAGCCCCTCCTGGGCCGCAGCCGCAGGAAGGGTGCCAGGCCGCAGCCCTGGCAGACGCGACCCGCCAGGCCGCAGCCATGGCGGGCGCAGCCCCTCCTGGGCCGCAGCCGCAGGAAGGGCGCCAGGCCGCAGCCGTGGCTGACAAAGTCCCTCCGGGGCCGCAGCCGCAGGAGGGACGCCAGGCCGCAGCCGTGGCGAAGTCAGGCCGCAGCCGTGACGGCAAAACTAGCCGCGCGTGTCGGATGACGGCGCGCGTGCACATAATATATTATATATATAAAGAATATGTGTATATATATTATCTTTTTGCAGTGTGTTTATATAGATATAAGTATTTATATTTTGTACGAGAGCGAGACGCCGGCCCGATGCCCCGCCTCCTCCGGCGCCTCCTTGGGCGCCATGGCTCCCATTCGAGCCTCAACGGCTGCGCCGCCCATGAAATGCAGCGGTGCGCATGCAAGAGCCCGACAAACCCGACAAACGACGACTGACGCGAGAAAAAAAAAAACGAGCACGTGTGCGTTTGTTGTTTTGCGCCGACCCCTGTTCGAAAGACGCGTATATGGACAAGCGAGAACGCCGCCAAACCCTATGCTGGAGCCTTGAGAAGACGGGCCCGCATCTTCTGCAAAGCGTCAAGCTGCTTGCCTTTCTTCACTGCAGGCCACAGCTGCTTGCAGATGGCTTTGTGGTTCGGACCAGAAGCCCCTATGATCAGGCGGTACTTCTTGTCCGCTTGGCACCAATATCGAATGTAAGACTTCTGCGTATAGTACCCGATGTGCGTGTGGCCCCAGTACTGAGCTTGCGCCGACTCGCTCTGGTACGTGTCCGCAGACAACGACTTGCTCTGGCGCGTGTCCGCAGACTCTGCGCAGCTTGCTGCTGCCGCAGGGCGCTTGAGGACCTTCGACGGCTTTGACGCAGAGCCAAGCTGCCGCGCCGCTGGACGCTTCATGCCTTTCCGGCCCTGACTGAGTAGGTCTGCGGCTGCGGACGCCGACAGGTCTGCGGGAGGGCTCGTCGATGGCTCGTCGTTGCTGCGCTCGCCGTCTCTGCCGTTATCTGCGGCTACCGCCGTGTCCAGGGCCAGCTCCTGCTGGTGCTGCGCGATGGGCTCAGGCACATCGCTGCGCACGAGCTCTGACGGGGGAACCTCCGGCAGGGCCAGGGCCCTGGACGCGCCTGCGACGACCTGGGCTGAGTTGTTCGCGCCTTGCGGCTTGAGGATTTGCAAGTTCAGGGGGTCACGGATGCCCGGGGGACGCTCCCATGAGCACAGACTCCCCGCTGCCTGGCGCATGACAGCGCCCATGATGTCGGCCATGGCTGGGCCAGACATTGCCGGCGGCGCAGACAGCGCATTTGTGCTGCGCAAGGGCACCTTCGCGGCCAAGGCTGCGATCTGCTGATCCTGAAGGGGCCACGCTGTCTGACGCGCCGGCTCGTGGCCCTCGAAGGCCGCGACTATATCTGCGGGCAAATCCTTAAAGTTGACCGGCAAGACTGCCAGCAGCTGCCCTGTCTTCGCTCTCCCCATCTTTTGCAAGCGCTTATGCACCGCCTTCCAAGTTGACTTGACTACCTGATAGCTTGTGGCGAGCTGCCAAGAACTGGACGGCCCGCCCTCCAGAAGCGAGCATACGGCGGTGACTCCTGCCAACGTCAGCTCTGTCGGAAGACAGAGCTGCAGAACCGTCGCGGCAGTTTCCAGGATATACTCCGCTTTCTCTCTCAGAGAAAGCTTGCCAGACAAGCGAGCCCAATGCTCGGCTGTAAAAAAAAAGTGCAGTCTGGTGTAGTCCTGGCTCTGTCTTCGCCGATCTTTTTCCCCGGCCTGCTTCGCTTGCGCCATGGAGCGCAGCAGCTCTTGTAGCTGACATTTTTCACCCGGAGAGAAGGCGCCGTCCGGCGTATCCAGGAACGCCTCAGCGGCCAGCAGATCTGCGCGCTCCCGCGGCTCTGCAAGCAGAAAAGTCTGCGCAGATGCAAAAAGCTTCTCTCTGCCACCCGGGTCGGCCGCGGCCGCGGAGAGGCACCGTGACACGGCTTGCAGACAAGCCAAGGCCATTGCGCCGCGCAAAGCAAAAGCTTAAAAGCTTGAACCAGCAGCTGCGGGAAAACAAAAGAGAGCCAGAAGCAGCGGCGGAAGAAAAAAGCGAGCAAAAAGCAAATACAAGTTTTCTACTCTGGGGACACAGAAAAGCCTATGTGGGGTTATATATATTTTTAGCAACCCTATCACACTATAGACCCTGCGCAGGTGCTCATTTTTTTTACGAACGTAAGTTCACCCTAAGTAGTTCCTAAGTTCATCGTAAGTTGTTTGACGCTCAAGCCATAAGTCCCCTAAGTAGACCCCAAGTAACTTATAAGTTCATATGAACTTACGGCGCACTTACAGAACTTATCGAACTTATAACCTAAGTTACAGAACTTATAACCTAAGTTATAACCTACTTATAAGTCCCGTAAGTAATTTCCCGCATACTGGTACCATCCCCCCCCCCCCCCACCCCCCACCCCTTCGGGCTACTATTCCGCATGCGTGGAAACAGCGCTGAGCGGGTGCACTTGAGCGGGTGTGCTTACCATTCCCCCCCCCCCGCACCACCCCCCACCCCTTCGGGCTACTCTTCCGCACGCGTGGAAACAGCGCTGAGCGGGTGCACTTGAGCGGGTGTGCTTAGCATTCCCCCCCCCCACCACCCCCCACCCCTTCAGGCTACTCTTCCGCATGCGTGGAAACAGCGCCGAGCGGGTGCACTTGAGCCAGCGTGCTTACCATTCCCCCCCCCCCCCACCCAACCCCCCCAGCCCCCCGACAGTGCCGAGCGGGTGCACCTGAGCGGGTGCGCTTACCTTCCCCCCCCCACCCCCCACCCCTTCGGGCTACTCTTCCGCACGTGGAAACAGCGCTGAGCGGGTGCACTTGAGCGGGTGTGCTTGCCATTCCCCCTCCCCCCCACCCCCCCCCCCCACAGTGCTGAGCGGGCGCACTTGAGCGGGTGTGCTTACCAATCCCCCCCCCCCCACCCCCCCACCCTGCCAAAAGTGTGTGTGTGTACAGATGATCCAGATGACAGAAACCTTGTGTGCGCAGATGATCCAGAGTGCGTGGCGCAATAAGTGAGGAAAGCCTGTGTGTACAGATGATCCAGATTTGTGTGCGCAGATGATCCCCCGCCCGTGTCTGTGTGTCTGTCTTTGTGGGTGTGTGTGTCTGTGTCTGTGTGTCTGTGTCTGTGTGTCTGTGTGTGTGTGTGTCTGTGCGTGTCTGTGCGTGTGTGTCTGTGTGTGTGTGTCTGTGTGTGTGTGTTTGTGTGTGTGTGTGTTTGTGTGTGTGTTTTTGTGTGTTTGTGTGTGTTTGTGTTTGTGTTTGTGTCTGTGCGTGTCTGTCTGTTTGTGTGTCTCTGCTGTGTGTCTGTGTCTGTGTGTCTGTGCCTGTGTGTCTGTCTTTGTGTGTGTGTCTGTGTCTGTGTGTCTGTGTCTGTGTGTCTGTGTGTGTGTGTGTCTGTGCGTGTCTGTGCGTGTGTGTCTGTGTGTGTGTGTCTGTGTGTGTGTGTTTGTGTGTGTGTGTGTTTGTGTGTGTGTTTTTGTGTGTTTGTGTGTGTTTGTGTTTGTGTTTGTGTCTGTGCGTGTCTGTCTGTTTGTGTGTCTCTGCTGTGTGTCTGTGTCTGTGTGTCTGTGCCTGTGTGTCTGTCTTTGTGTGTGTGTCTGTGTCTGTGTGTGTGTGTGTGTGTGTGTGTGTGTGTGTGTGTGTGTGTGTGTGTGTGTGTGTGTGTGTGTGTGTGTGTGTGTGTGTGTGTGTGTGTGTGTGTGTGTGTGTGTGTGTGTGTGTGTGTGTGTGTGTGTGTGTGTGTGTGTGTGTGTGTGTGTGTGTGTGTGTGTGTGTGTGTGTGTGTGTTTGTGCGTGTTTGTGTGTGTTTGTGTGTGTGTGTGGTGTGACTGTGTGTGGTGTGTGTGTGGTGTGTGTGTGGGTGGTGTGTGTGTGTGTGTCTGTGTCTGTCTGTCTGTGTGTGTGTGTTTTTGTGTGTGTGTGTGTGTGTGTCTGTGTGTGTTTTGTTGTGTGTGTCTGTGTGCGCGTGTGTTGTTGTGTGTGTTTTTGTGTCTGTTTTTGTGTGTGTTTTTGTGTGTCTGTGTGTGTGTGTCTGTGTGTGTTTTTGTGTGTTTTTGTGTGTGTGTGTGTGTTTGTGCGTGATTGTGTGTGTGTGTGTGAGAGAGTGTGTCTGTGTCTGTGTGTGTGTGTTGTTTTGTGTTTGTTTTTGTTTTTTTGACTATCCCATCAATCATTTATGCAGCAAATTCAATGTTGATCCCGACAGCTCCCTACCATTGAGACCAGGAGATTTATTAGCAACAATTCTTGCACTAGCTGCTTCTCGACATGTTCAGCTGTTTATCTACAGTTACCCCGGCAAAGGGGACCCGATTGAAGCAGCAATGGCTTCTCTTGGCTGGCTGCTTCGTAGGTTAACAAGACATGAACAGGGATTTGTTAGAGCACCCAGAAACCAGGCAAGGCCCAACTGATTCAACGAGTTGCGGCATGCAAGGCTGCGGCAAAGGATCTCTATTCTCGATTTGGATCCAGCTGGAGACGACCAGGAAGCAGTGACCTGCGCGGCGAACTGTGCAGTGGAGCTATTTCGCAGGGACGCAGCGGAGGTGGCCATCCGCCAGCAGCACATCTACCGCAGCAGGATCGAGCCATTGGTCGTTGGCAAAGCCTCTGCTGAGATAGTCGGACCTTGTTTGATTGCAGGAGGCCAAGGTGGCCTCGGCCAAGTGCTTGTGTCATTCCTCCGAACGCTCGGTGTGGATCAGATCACAGTGCTCGGCCGACGTCCGGGGCACGTGAAGGAAGCAGACTTCGTGTGTGCCGACATCAGCCAAAGGCATACAACCGAAGCGGTTCTGCGCAGCATGAGGCGGGGAAACAGGCTGCCAAAGATGATTTTTCAGTTGGCCGGTGAATTGGCGGACAGCAGCTTGAAGCACCTCACATGGCAGACTTTTGAAAGGCCATTGAAGCCGAAAGTATACGGCTCGCAGCACTTGCACGAGGTTGAGGGAGCATCCTTGGTGCTGTTCTCCTCTATGGCTTCCTTGCTGCCCTTCCCAGACCAGATCAATCATGCGGCCGCCAATTCTTTTCAGGATGCCTTAGCCCACGAGAGGAGCTACGCTGGGAAGCTTGGCTTGGCCATCAATTGGAGCCTTTGGGCAGAGACTGGTGCTGCTTCCGAGAAGCAAAGTGCATTGGTGCTGGGCCAGCGTTTTGGCTTTGGGGCCATGAACAACAAGGATGCTCTGAACTACCTCCACCAGGTCCTGAGCACTCCGCTGGTGCAGGTTGCTATTTGTCCTGTTGACTGGAAGGCATATTTGAAGGCAGCTATCACCCCAGACAGGACGCGCTTTGGAGTGGTTTGGCGTCACCCACACTTTTTGTTCGAGACAATTGCCCACCCCCACCCCCCACCCCACAGAGGGCCTTGAATTATCCCTGCAGGAGACTCCAGCACCTTGATGAGGGAGGGACAACTCGCAGGACTGGCAAGATCCAAAGACCCGAGATCTCAGATGACTTGGACTTGGGCGCGGTACTCCACCAAAAACTAGTGCAGATCCTTCAGGATGTCATGGGCACAGATATGGTGGAACTGGATATGGATGAGCAAACGAGCTTTGAGACCCTGGGAATGGACTCCATGTACGCCAGCAGCTTTGCCTCGAGGATTTCGTCTATGGGGATCGAGGTAGAGACGGCAGATGTCTTGAGCGCACCCAACGTGATGGCCTTGAGCCAAGCTCTCCTTGACAGGCGCGGCAAGTTGCCTGAGGTTCACACGGCTTCAAGCCTCCAGGATTTCCCACCTCCGCCACAGGGCATCAGCGTGGTGGGGATGGGCATTCGAACCTCCTCAAGCTCCACTCCGAGCGAATTTGGATGGCAGCTTTGGTGGGGATGTGGAGTTTGGTCCGTGCCGTGCTCCAGACAGTCATTGTACGAAGATGTGCCTGGGATCTTTGTGCGCCACGCTGGCTTGCTGGAAGACCTGGAAGCCTTTGATGAGGAGTTCTTCGGCATCCGAGACGAGCAACGCCTGATGGACCCCCAGCAAATGCTCGTCCTGCAGTGCGCGCAAGAAGCAGCAGTTCACAAGCAGCGGGATGTGGCTGTGTTTATTGGCGTGGGTTCCAGCGAGAATGTGGAGAATGCTGATAAAATTCTCCGGGAGAGTAGCAAAAACCAAGCAGGCCTTTGCGCGTTGGGAAACAATCGCAGTGTTGCAGCTAATCGTGTCTCCCACGTATTTGGCCTCTCCGGCCCGTCAATGTCATTGGACACAGCCTGCTCCTCTTCGCTTTTCGCAGTGGCAACTGCATGCAGCAGCCTACGCAATGGTGAGGTGCACGGCAGCCTTGCCGGCGGCGTCAACGTGATCCTATCAGCAAATCTGATGAGATGGTATTCCTCCATGGAAATGATTTCTCGTTCTGGCTGCTGCCGCAGTTTCGACGCAAGCGCAGATGGCATGGTTCGGAGTGAGGGTTGCGGGGTCATTGCGCTTTCTACTTCTGAGCCACTGCACCACGCCGAGATCTTGGGATATGCCACCAACCACAACGCCGGGGCGCGGCGGGCCGTGGGCGCCTCAGGCACTCGGTCTGAGGCCATGATGATGCCATCAGCCAGGGCGCAGCAGGAGCTGCTGAGGGCTGCCCTGCTTCAAGCGCAACAGCCCGAGGTGCAGCTGATGGAAGCTCATGGGACCGGGACGCCGCTCGGCGACCCCGAGGAGGCAGCGGCCATCGCCGCAACATCGCACCGGGTCTTTGTGGGCGCCGGAAAGTCGATCTTGGGCCACCATGAGGCAGCTGCTGGCATTATGGGCCTAACGAAGGTGATCAGCTCCTTCACACGCAGGTGTGCTCCTCCAAATCAGCACTTAAGAATCCTGAATGAGAACATAGAGGCCGAATCGCTGGAGTTCCTGAATTCACACTTACCGCTGGGCTCTGTTGCCGCAGCTGGCGTCAACAGTTTTGGCTTCAGCGGAAGCAATGCACATGTGCTCCTGGCCCCCTCCGACTGCAACTCTGACCCCGCTGGAATCGACAGTTTGGGCTTCAGCAAAAGCAATGCACATGTGCTCCTGGCCCCCTCCGCTGCCAGTTTTGGCTTCAGCAAAAGCAATGCGCATGTGCTCCTGGCCCCCTCCGACTGCAACTCTGACCCAGCTGGCGTCGACAGCTTTGGCTTCAGCGAAAGCAATGCGCATGTGCTCCTGGCCTCCTCCGACTGCATCTCTGACGCAGCTGGCGTCGACAGTTTTGGCTTCAGCGAAAACAATGCGCATGTGCTCCTGGCCCCCTCCGACTCTCTGACCCCGCTGGAGTCGACAGTTTGGGCTTCAGCAAAAGCAATGCACATGTGCTCCTGGCCCCCTCCGCTGCCAGTTTTGGCTTCAGCAAAAGCAATGCGCATGTGCTCCTGGCCCCCTCCGACTGCAACTCTGACCCAGCTGGCGTCGACAGCTTTGGCTTCAGCGAAAGCAATGCGCATGTGCTCCTGGCCTCCTCCGACTGCATCTCTGACGCAGCTGGCGTCGACAGTTTTGGCTTCAGCGAAAACAATGCGCATGTGCTCCTGGCCCCCTCCGACTGCAACTCTGACCTCGCTTCAGTTCGTGCTCCGGTGCCATGCCCGAACACTTCGGAGAGCCTCCCTCAGGAGCTTCTAGAAGCCATCAGTGATGTGCTTGATTTGAGGCCAGAAGAGCTTGACATCTCAGCAACCTTCTTTGACAACGGCGGAGATTCCATCAGCGCTCCGATTGTGCAGACGGGCCTCAGGCGTCTCGGCCTGTCGGTGCGCATGGACCAGCTCTGGGACTGCTCGCTCAGCGAGCTTCTCGGTTCGGAGCTCAAGGACTGGGAGATGCGAATGCCATAGATCGGCAGCTTATTTTGCTTGTCTCGCGCTTGTGTGTTTTGTTTGCAGGCTTTTGGGCTGGTTGATTGCAAGAGTTGAACTGCAGGAGGAGGCGATTCGACGGAGCGGACATCCTTCTGCACCCTTTTTCCTGACGCCTATCCAGGAGGCCTACTGCTATGGCCGAGAGTTCAACGACGTGGCGGCTCATGGCTACATGGAGGTGGAGGTGCTCGAAGACTTTGACCAGGACTGGTGCCCCTATAATGTGCATTTGAGACATATTGGAGGTGGAGGTGGTAACCCTAATTTTCGGACGACTTGAAGATGCAGTTACTCATTTTTGGGTCGTAAAATTTATACACATAGACCAGTCGAATCCTGATGCGGAGTGTGCCAAAAGTAATCAAAGTGCTTGCCCAACCAGGACCGATTTGTCTCGGCCTTCCGAAAGCTCTTTGAGCGACATGACATGCTGCGCATGAAGGTGCTTGAGTTGCCAGATGGGTATCGGCAGTGCATTTGCAGGTCCGAGCACTGGGATTGCGAGGTCATTGATTTGACCCAGATATCGCCTGAGGCAGCTCTCAGGGAGCTGGACAGGATGAGAGACAATTTCTCTCATGAAGTGATCCCCATCACAAGCTGGCCTTTGTTCCGAATCCGGATTTCCAGGCGCCGCAACGCAAAGGGCAGTCTTCAGTCCCGATTACACTTCTCCTTTGACTCGCTGCTTCTGGACATGATGAGTCTACGCATTCTATTCTCTGAATGGCATGCTCTGTATGAAGGCACGCCAGACCTTCCAAAGTTGAAGCTCGGCTTTCGCGACTGGGTGATGTGGTTGCAAGAGCAAGAGGCAACCCCCCGCTATCAGAAGGCCAAAGAGTACTGGGAGCAGCGGTACCAGAGCATGCCGGGAGCGCCGAACTTGCGGTTGCTCACTAATCCCAGCACACTCCAGCGCCCACGCTTCCAGCGGTGCCTCAACTTGATTCCGGCCGTTGTGTGGAAGACCCTGACCTCCTCAGCACGCCGCTGCGGGGTGACTGCCACCAGCTGTTTGCTAACGTGCTTTGCAGCTGTCCTCGCCAGATGGTGCGACCTGTCGCCCCCGAATTTGCAGGAGTTTGTCATTAACCTTACGACATTCAGCCGGGACCACCAACTGGAGGGCATCATCGGTGATTTCACCTCTGTGGTTTTGGTGGCCGTGAACCACGCTGCCTTCGGGAAAGAGAGCTTCAAGAAGTCCGTGGAGGCGTGCGTGCCAGATCTCCAACGGATTCCGCATCGTGCCAAAACGGTTTTTGCATTGCTTAGGCTTAAACAGGGATCTGGTGCGCATCCTAGTTTTGACTTGTTCCCATATCTGGCAGCTTAAGCGAATCTACGATGGGTGTTGATCAACCACAACGAGAACTACTATGACCATCGCTCTCTTGCCCGCGCGCTGTGGAATCTGGCATAATTGTGTCTGTTCGTTTATCCTGATTCACATCATCGAGAGCTGTCTTCTGATTCGAGCATTCCATGTCAATCACACAAGCGCAAACCGCAGTAGCATCACATTCCTGTCAGCCTTGTCCAATCACACTGCAGCACATTTCCTGCGCTCTTCCAGCATAGGCCAAAAGAGATCAAAAGAAACTACCTAAGCAAGGCGCACTCCTCGGCGCATGTGCACGACCCTGCGTGTTCAAGGGTTTGACTCAAACACTACCAAGCCAACTCATCTACAGCGGTGCTCTTATGTTGCAGTAGAATAGCGGTTTGCCTTGGCAAAATTTGGTTGAAGGCCGCTGGAAAACACAACTTTGCGCCCTAGCGATTCTCGCCGTGTTCAGCCGATGTGTCATTTGGTTACGGTTGTGAGCGGTTGTGCATCAACGGGCAAACATGCTGGCGTAAGTGCAGTTCTCATAGCAGGTGTGATTGGAGGGGAAGCAAGTCAGAAGCCAAATCGCAAGACTCCAACTCCAACCACCAAGGCAATACTTGTTGGACACGCGCATCACAGACAATTGATTATTAGTGCACGGCTTGCAGGCAATCGCTTGTGGTTTGGCGCAAGCATTTCTCGTGACATTGCATTGTTTGTCGCAGTGGAAGTCTCGTTTTAAACCTTTTTTGCAGTTGTTAAGCTCAGCAGGGTCAGTGAGAAAGCCGATGTTTGCATTTAATAAGCTCCAAAGCATTTAATAAGCTCCAAAGCGTGTGCTGCGAATTGGTTTTGGAGCTTAGCAGCCTCTTTGAGACCTAGCTCTTACCAAAGCTGAGATATGGCCTCGGCTTGTGGCAGGCGGTTTGGAAGCAGCTCAAGAAGGACTTGAGCAACAGCCTGTACGACGGTGTCCACGTACAGCGTGGCCTGCGCCAGTGTGGCTCTAGTTCGGCTCCAATTGTTTTCACTAGCTTGCTGAATTTGCCCCTGGATGCAGGGGATCGGGAATCAGTGGGCCAGAAGTTTGGAGAGGCTGTGTACAGCGTGACTCAGACGCCGCAAGTTTGGCTAGACTTCAAGGCCTTCATAGCACAGGATGGATGCCTGGCAGTGGAGTGGGACTACGTGCCGGACATACTCTCACAGCAGCATGTGCAGGCCATGCACTCTGCGTTTTGCCGTTTGGTGTGCTTGGTGGCGAACGACTTTGAACAGCCCTTGCCGGAGGTCTTGGGGGATGAGCACCTTGACGCCTGGCTCCGGCTCAACGCCACTAGACGCGATTGGACAGAAGCCCAATGCCCCAGCACGCTGCAGGAAGCGTTGTGGCGTAAGCTGGCGCAGGACAGGTTCCCAAAGCCAGTATTTGCAGCTTGCCATCTTCACCTTGTTTTCTTGTTTTCTTGTTTCTTGCTTTCTTGTTTTTGCGTTTTCACCTTGAAGGAGGGCGCAGCTTTGATATCTGACGGTGAGCGCAGCATCAGTGTGGAGCAGTTGAAGAACAAGGTAGGGAGCCTGTCGCAGCAGCTGCTCCGGGCCAATCTCGGCACCTCTGACCTGGTAGCGGTGCACCTGCCAAGATCTGCAAGCCTCGTCATCGCCATCTACTCTGTGGTCCAGGTAGGAGCAGCTTACCTCCCACTAGAGTGTGACCAACCCCAAAACCGCAAGCGGAAGATGCTGGAGCACAGCTGCTGCAAGGCGTTGATCCATTCGCCCGATGACAGCCTTGGGTTTGCTGGGATTTGCATTGGTCTAGCTCCATCGATGCTGACCCAGCCAGTGGAGAGTTTTGCTCAACCTGCGCGTGCTCTCCCAGGACATTTGGCGTATGTAATCTACACATCAGGATCTACCGGCATGCCCAAAGGAGTTGCCATCCAACACAAAGCTGTGATGAACCGCTCTATGGCTGCAAGAAGCGTTCTCAACAGGCGAAGCAGATATTTATGAAATGGAAAACACCGAAGACGAAGTGATTGTAGCTGAACGCGATTGATATGATTGCAGCGCTTTGTGTCGCAAACATACTCTTTGAAAGCTGATATTGTGTCTAAATCAGCTTTCTGCCACACAATCGCAATTTTGAATGATGTGCTATGCCAAGAATGTTTGCATATTTTTGTCGAAGAAACTGCATCAATCGAAGCAAACCCAAGCTTTTGCAGATTTGAATTTGCTTGAAATAGCATGTACGAAGCCTGCAACGGAATTTTGAATTTTCCATTCTTGAGTCTTCGGTGTACGAGATCAGCAAGCTTGAGTACGTAGGCGCGTCGCCCGCACACCTGTGCCTTTGACAGGACACCTGCCTCCGCGTAGGCTGAAACCTGTTTACATGCAGCTCTTTCATGTACCAAAAAAAAACTCTGCTCATTTGGACCCAGACACAGTTTGCAACACTGCAGCGCAACATGATATAGAGCACAACCTCGCAACATCCGCTGCGTTTTGTGACGTTCCATCAACCCGCACGCATGTTACTCGTACCAAAGGACCTCAGCGCAGTGATCGCAAGAGGGCCCAAGGGCCCGCACCTACAAACGCAGACGCACACACACACACACATCCACGCACACACAAACACACACAAACACACACACACACACAAACACACACACACACACACACACACACACACACACACACACACACACACACACACACACACACACACACACACACACACACACACACACACACACACACACACACACACACACACACACACACACACACACACACACACACACACACCGCACACACCGCACACACCGCACGCACGCACGCACGCACGCACGCACGCACGCACGCACGCACACAACACACACAACACACACAACACACACAACACAACACAACACAACACACACAGAGACACCACACACACACACGCACACACGCGCACACATCACACCCGCACCACACACACACACACACACGCACGCGCACAAACACGCAACGCACGCAACACATCGCAACCCACGCACAGAAAACACAGACAACAGGCACACACACACAGACAGACACACACACACACACAGGCACACACACACACACGCACGCACGCACACACACACACACACACCGGGAAACACAAATGCGCACACGCGCGCAGCCTTACACGCAAGCACATTCATACACGCACTCAGCACTTTGCAACACACGCACACAACGCACACACAACAAGCACGCACACAGACACACACGCACCCACACTCACAAACACACATCCGAACACACGCGCACAAACACCTGGAAACACATGCGCACACACGCACACCCTTACACGCGCGCACATTCATACAAACACAAAAGCACAAACACAAACGCACAAAGACGCAAACACACAGACATGCACAAAAGCACAGAAACAAACATACAAATGCAAACCCAAACCCAAACATACACGAACACACACTCACACACACACACACACTGAGACACAAAGACATGCAAACACCCATTACTCACAAACACGACCAACGCACAAACACACAAGCGCACAAAAGCACACAAACACCCAACCACACGCGCAAACGACGCAAACAAACACAGACCTACACACACAAGAAAAAGACACCACACACAGAGAAACGCAAACACAGACGCACAGAAGCGCAGAACATACGGACAAGCACACAAACACACAAGCGCACAAGCACACACACACACACAAAAACACAAAGACACAAACACGCAACCACAAACACACACGCAGACAAACATACAAAACACAAACACACACAAACACATAATCAGGCAAACGCAGCCACACAAAAGCACAAGCACAAAAACGCAACATAAACACAAACGCAAACACACCAGCACGCAATCAGAAAAAAGACAGAGAGAGTTGACGATATTGTGAGACAACACCTTGGCAACCAGACGCCAACTACCAGTAGCAACCGCAGTCAGTCAAAATATGCGCATCGGACAGACTGACTTGAACAGCAGGTTCAGCATGCCAGATGGCCCGTGATTGAATGCTTCAGTGCAGCGAGCTGAGGTTTGGCCTGGATGCAAGAGACTTACCAGCTGACTGCCAATGATGTGATTATGCAGAAGACGCCTTGTGGTTTCGATGTGTCTGTGTGGGAGTTTTTCTGGCCGCTTTTTGGCAATTTCTCCCTGTTCCTGGCAAAACCTGATGGTCACGCAGATCCAGCTTACCTTTGGCATCACATTTGCGCAGCTAACATTACGGTGATCCACTTCGTGCCTTCTATGCTGCGGCGCTTCATTTCCGCAAAGTGTGAAGCTGCAACAAAGCTCCGTCACATCTTCTGCAGCGGGGAGGCCTTGCCCACGGATCTGGCTCAAAGGACAAGGATTTGAAAAGAGTTTGCCAACTCAGGTCACCATCCTTAGCAGCCGCACGTTGTTGTGTTTACGTGATTTACCTTCTCGAAGATCATGGACCGTTGCGATCCGACTCGATCCGACGTTTTGGATTCGACCAGCGCCGAAACGATTCGACCGATCCGACTCGACCAACGTTGAAGGCTCGGGGGGCTCAACTGGTGCCCAACAACCCAACAGCCCAGCGGCCCACAGCCCAACAGCCCAACAGCCCAACAGCCCAACAGCCCAACAGCCCAACAGCCCAACAGCCCAGCACTTCAACAGCCCAACAGCCCAGAAAAACCGCAAACCAATAGGCCAAGCACCGAACAGCCCAACAGCGCAGCAGTCTCCGGAAGGAGCGTGCTCCCAGATGCTTAGTCAGCGGGGACTGTACGAGTTTTTGCTTTGTACATGTTGGGGGCGTTTCTGACGTTCGCGGATCTGGCCAAAAGTTCCCGGCAATGCTTGCCACACGTGCAGCTCCCAGCATTTCTAGACAAATGCCGGCAACCCTTTCTGCAGTTAAACTTGCCACGCTTTGCCACAGCTCCTGTCATGTCCAACCACGACAATTCTCCGCAATCCGCTTTGGTGTTGTAGTTTGTTTGCACGTAGTCTTAGCCCCAGCCCTGGCAGTTCTTTCCCTGGCGCCATGGTCTTGCCGCAGCTCCGGGAGTTCGTTTCGCACACTGGCCGTAGAGTATCCGCACAGTTCGTGGCGCATCCGGCGATCTTCTGTAAGTTTGCAGTTCCTGGCAAGGTCCTGGCAATCCCTTTGGTTATCCTCAAAATGGAACAGATCGTAGGGGAACAGATTGTTAAAGACTTTGTCATTTTGGGCCAGTTTTGCGCTTTTGACATTTTTTGACTGGTTCTGTCGGCTTTTGCCGGTTTTGGTCGGGTTTTGTCGGGCTTTGTTGGCAACTTGTCATTTTGTTTGATTCCTTTCTTTTTTTTGCTGCAGTTGTTGCTGCTGTTGCTGTTGTCAATTGACGTTTGTTGCACGGTTGTTTGGTTGTTATTATTGTTTGCTGTAACAGCTAGCTTTTCTTTGTTATTATTGTTTGTTGTAAACAACTGACAACAGTTCAACAATTTGTGTGTTGTTTGTTCGTTCGTTTGTTTGTTTGTTTGTTTGTTTGATTGTTGGTTTGGTTTGGTTTGGTTTGGTTTGGTTTGGTTTGGTTTGGTTTGGTTGGGTGACATGTATATTATTATATGTATGTATGTATGTATGCATGCATGTATGTCTTTTCTATTGATTGACTGATTAATTGATTGACTGACTGACTGACTGACTGACTGTTGATTGATTCATTCACTCATTCACTCATTCACTCATTCAAAAATTCTTCCATCCATCCATCCATTTCACTCATTCATTTATTTGTTCATTCATTCATTCATTCATTCCATTCCATTCCATTCCATTCCATTCCATTTATTTAATTCATTCATGCATTCACTCACTCATTCACTCATTCATTTTGTTGTATTAGATTATTGTATTTATTCGTTAACGTATATTCTTTTATTTCATTCCATTCCACTCCGTTCCAGTCCAGTCCATTCCATTCCATTCATTCATTCACTCATTCATTCATTCATGCTATTTCATTCCATTCCATTCCATTCCATGCGTTTATTCATTCATTCATTCATTCATTCATTCACTCACTCACTCATTCTTTCATTCAGTCAGTCATTCATTCATTCATCCATCCATCCATCCATCCATTCATTCATTCATTCATGCATTCATTCATTCATTCATTCATTCATTCATTCATTCATTCATTTCATTCATTCATTCATTCATTCATTCATTCATTCATTCATTCATTCATTCATTCATTCATTCATTCATTCATTCATTCATTCATTCATTCATTCATTCATTCATTCATTCATTCATTCATTCATTCATTCATTCATTCATTCATTCATTCATTCATTCATTCATTCATTCATTCATTCATTCATTCATTCATTCATTCATTCATTCATTCATTCATTCATTCATTCATTCATGTCATTCATGTCATGCCATGCCCTGCCATGTCATGTCATGTCATGTCATTCATTCATTTTATTTGTTTTCTTGATTCATTCATTCATTCATTCACTCATTCATTCATTCATATTCATATCATGATCATATTCATATTCATATTCATACTCATTCATTCAGAAGGGGAAATTAAATGTCCGACATTGTCCTTGCTTTGTTTAGCTCGAGAGCCATGTAGAGAGGCAGGGGGGAAACAATGTCCGGGGCCCTGCGGACATTTAATTTCCCCTTCATTCATTCAGCTGATTAGTGAGGTTGTCAGGTGTCACGTTCAGAATGTTCAAACAGGAATCATACTATTCGTAATGTTTTTGTTTGGTAGCTCAGCTTGGACTTGTCACTTTTGAACAGCCCGGGTCAACACAGGCAGTATATAGGTAGATGCTTAGCTTGTGCGAAGTTGGCGGAAACTACACGGGTGGCTTGACATGCTGGTTACATATCGAAGGCGTTTAGACTCCAGAAGGCTCAGGAGACTTAGATCAAGTATGTCCAAATCTTGAAACAAAGGCTGTGCAATTCGTAATCGCTTTAAATGGTCGAATTGGGGATCACGCCCAGCGCGAGCCATAATACGGGTCATTATCAAACCTAGCGGAATTTCAGCGTTGCATCATTTGTGTGTGACTCTCAACCACAGGTGCAAACCTAGCGGGGTTTCAGCGTTGCATCATCTCTCAACCACAGGTGCAAACCTCGCGGGGTTTCAGCGTTGCATCATTTGTGTGTGTGACTCTCAACCACAGGTGCAAACCTAGCGGGGTTTCAGCGTTGCATCATTTGTGTGTGACTCTCAACCACAGGTGCAAACCTAGCAAGGTTTCAGCGTTGCATCATCTGTGTGTGTGTAACTCTCAACCACAGGTGCAAACCTAGCGGGGTTTCAGCGTTGCATCATCTGTGTGTGACTCTCAACCGCAGGTGCAAACCTAGCGGGGTTTCAGCGTTGCATCATCTGTGTGTGACTCTCAACCACAGGTGCAAACATCGCGGGGTGTCAGCGTTGCATCATCTGTGTGTGACTCTCAACCACAGGTGCAAACCTAGCGGAGTTTCAGCGTTGCATCATCTGTGTGTGACTCTCAACCACAGGTGCAAACCTAGCGGGGTTTCAGCGTTGCATCATCTGCGACTGACTCTCAACCACAGGTGCAAACCTAGCAGGGTATCAGCGTTGCATCATCTGTGTGTGACTCTCAACCAGAGGTGCAAGCCTAGCGGGGTTTCAGCGTTGACTCTCAACCACAGGTGCAAACCTAGCGGGGTTTCAGCGTTGCATCATCTGTGTGTGACTCTCAACCACAGGTGCAAACCTAGCGGGGTTTCAGCGTTGCATCATCTGTGTGTGACTCTCAACCACAGGTGCAAACCTAGCGGGGTATCAGCGTTGCATCATCTGTGTGTGACTCTCAACCACAGGTGCAAACCTAGCGGGGTTTCAGCGTTGCATCATCTGTGTGTGACTCTCAACCACAGGTGCAAACCTAGCGGGGTTTCAGCGTTGCATCATCTGTGTGTGTGTGACTCTCAACCACAGGTGCAAACCTATTTCAGCGTTGCGTCGTCTGTGTGTGACTCTCAACCACAGGTGCAAACCTAGCGGGGTATCAGCGTTGCATCATCTGTGTGTGACTCTCAACCACAGGCCCATCGGCGATGTCAAGTTGGGATGGCTTGAAATAGCTTGAACGCACGCCTAAAGGGGGCCTGGTTGCTGGCCACCCTTGAAGACTTGTTGGGATTTGTTGGGGGCTTCGGGAGATTTTGGAGGGGGGTCAGATCGCAATTAAATTTTCATCTCCGCAGAACTACGGTGAGATCGTATGCAACTTTAGTCTTCGCAGAATTACGGTCAGATCGTCGTCACTGTTAGTCTCAGCAGAATTACGGTCAGATCGTGTGCAACTTTAGTCTCCGCAGAACTACGGTCAGATCGTATGCAACTTTAGTCTCCGCAGAATGACGGTCAGATCATCATCAATTTTAGTCTCCGCAGAATTACGGTCAGATCGCACACAACTTTAGTCTCCGCAGAACTACGGTCAGATCGTGTGCAACTTTAGTCTCCGCAGAACTACGGCCGGGTCGTATGCAACTTTAGTCTCCGCAGAATTACGGTCAGATCGTATACAACTTTAGTCTCCGCAGAATTACGGCCAGATCGCACACAACTTTATAGTCTCCGCAGAACTACGGTCAGATCGTATGCAACTCTAGTCTCCGCAGAATTACGGTCAGATCGTATGCAACTTTAGTCTCCGCAGAATTACAGTCAGATCGTCATCAATTTTTATCACGTCCTGCAACCAGGCCCCTTTTCGGCGTGCTCAAATCGGAGCCTTTCACACGTGCGTTCAAGCCATTTCAAGCCATCCCAACTTGACATTGCCGAAAGCCTGATTTCTCCTACCCTTGAATATCCCCCCCCCCCCCAAATTTCCTCGCTGACGCGACACAATTTGGCACCCTCGCTGAGGGTGCCAAATGTGTTGCCCCGAACGGCCCCGCTTGGATTGGGGCTGTGGTTGAGAGTCACACACAGATGATGCAACGCTGAAACCCCGCTAGGTTTGTACCTGTGGCTGAGAGTCACACACAGATGATGCAACGCTGAAACCCTGCTAGGTTTGCACCTGTGGTTGAGAGTCACACCGCTGAAGCCCCGCTAGGTTTGCACCTGTGGTTGAGAGTCACACACAGATGATGCAACGCTGAGACCCCGCTAGGTTTGCACCTGTGGTTGAGAGTCACACACAGATGATGCAACGCTGAAACCCCGCTAGGTTTGCACCTGTGGTTGAGAGTCACACACAGATGATGCAACGCTGATACCCCGCTAGGTTTGCACCTGTGGTTGAGAGTCACACACAGATGATGCAACGCTGAAACCCCGCGAGGTTTGCACCT